AACCCAGGTGGAGGGGCGTGGCCCTCAGCGAGGGGGTGGGACCCAGACTCACCAATGGCGATGATGCACCCTTCTCGCGGCCAATCGGCGGTGAGATGCTTGGCGGCGTTCGCGGTGCGTTCATTGGCTATTGGCTGTGGCGCGGCGCCGATTGGCTGGAGCGGGATGTCTCGGCGGCAGCAGGCTAGGGCGGCCCCTTCATGGGGCCACGTGGGGCAGGGCCAGGCGGCTGGACAGAGTCTGGTCGGTGTCCGGTGCTGTCGTCCTAAGACCTCGCGTCTACCTGGATGGCACAGCCCCGCCGGGTTCCGAGCCCAGTCCTTTCCCTTTACTGGGGTCCAGGAGGCCTCATGCTCCGGCCCAGCGAGGGGCTTGCAGAGGGTGGGGGGCCTGCCTGGGCTGCAAAGGGACGAGGTAGCGCGGAGTTGCAGAGGAAAAACTCCAGATGACATCGCGTGCCCAGCGCAGTTTTCCAGCCCTGGGACGTGAGGCTTCTAGGCTGCAGGAATGGGAGCGGGCGGCTACATTGTCTGGAGACGGGTTACGTTGTTGCACTGGAGCAAGGAGGTACAATGTATCTCCTGCCGCGCCCCCGAATTTGGCACCTTTTTGGAATTGAACAGATTGTGCAGTTTTGTCGGGGGCGCACTGAGAGTTTTCATCATTGTGAGAATCGTTATCCCAGCCCCCGACTTGACAAGCTCGATTTAGTCATTTTCCCTTGGATTCTCGGAGCCAGTAGCGTATGGCTGCTGAATAAGAAAGAGCTCTTTTCTAAACAAGTTTCTAAATTTACACCCACTGATGGCCCAGAAGAGGCCAACACATGCATATTCAGCACCAAAAAAGACTGGCGTGCAGTTTTTTCTTTTTTTGACAAACTGGGCTTTGCTCCTTGAAGGGTGGGCGGGAATGTGCTTTCTGTTTTTAGGAAAATGTCAGGGAACTTCTCAGCATCACATTAAGCATGTTAATTACCAAATATTAAATGCTAATTACTCGACAGGCAGTTAGAATGCCAAGGCAGGGAGATGAAAACTGGTATGAGCTACTGGTGACATGATGTCAGGAGTGTTTTTATATCTTTGTTTTTTTGACGGGCGTTTTGCAGCCTCATTGGTGGGAGCATGTTCCCAGTCTTAACTAGGACTGAAAACACAGATTGTTTATCTGTGAGCCCAAGCCATATGCCTTGGCTGCCTTTAAAAAGAGGCAGCTCCTCTTAAGCTCCTTCCAAAGAGAAGGGGAGGTAGGCTGGTTAAGTAATCGCTAGGAGAAAACACCATATAGATTGTTAGTAGAAAAAGATGGTTTCCATCAACATGCCAGGTACTACAGACTCAAGTGGTCCAGCCCCTTCCAGGATCATGGTGTTCTCTGCATCACACCCGGGACTTGGCCCCATCAGGGTATTTTATTTCTCCGTGCACCCCCTCCAGACTTGGTTCTGTGTCATGGTGTCCACAAACACCAGGTACCAGATGCTCAGCAGAGTGGACGCAGCAGCTCATGGGGCCAGCTCTCCTGCTTCCACTACATAGTTGACCTAGCAGGTGCTTTGGCCCCCTGGGGACAGCATGGGGGTTAGTGGAAGAATCAAGTCCATCCCATGTTGCAGACCGAGAGTCCCAAAGAATGAAATAATTTTATAATTATTAATAATGAGGCAGACTACCAGGAATGATATAGAACAGAGAGTGTGAAAAACAGGGGGTTAACAGTTCTCATGACTGAAGGCCCCAAGCCATGCTTCTCTGAATATTTATTTAGAATCGTAAGGAAGGTAAGCAAAGTAAAATCACAAGGAAGTACAAAGCAAAAACAAAGGATAATGGTGAAGTCTTTTACAGATAAGGTCAAGTTCCTCTTTATGCTAATCTCAAGAGGGAGGGATTCATTTGACACAAACTAAGAACAATGTTGACTCCTAGGGAATGCCCCAGTGTCACAAGGTGACCTTCAGCTTGTATTAAGCTTCCCTCATTTCCCAGTACAGCATTTGGTCTACTATT